AGCATTGAGATTTAAAGAGTTAATGTTCTGGTTCTTTGGACCACTGCTTCTGGGTGCCTGGTTCTTAGTGGGAGATTAGGGGGGGGGGCGGTGCATTCCCCAAAGGACTTCACATCCAGAGGAAGAGAGATGGAGCTCCTGGCAGGTTGGGAGCTTCTCTCTTTGTTCACTGTCAAGGAGCACATGGTCCCCATCTTGTTTTTGGCCTGCAGCTTTAGAGTAGGCCTTTAGTTTGGACACTCTCTCTGTCATTTTGTTTGATTTGTTGGCCTCAATTCCAATTGTATTATGTTGTATTGTGTTATCTTGCACTCTGATACCATATCTAGTAAAAGAATATTCCTCCTCAGATGATTTCTTCTATTCTGTTTTTAGACCCATCCACTATCTCCCTACCCTTCTCTTTTTCCCTTTTCCAGGGTGTGGGTCCACAAGTCCGCTGCCTCATTAGTAATGGGACCGGCCCATTGACTTTTATTTTTCTCTCTCTTTCTTTCTTTTCCAGGACAGTGGGCCTGTCGGCCTACTGTCCCCTGTCATGGACACAGATCTAGAGGTAACTCAATGACAATCACACATCAGGAAAATTTATATGCAGAATTTTTAAAAAAGTAATAATGTCATGCAAAGTATAATCAAAGCTGTGAATTTCATAAAGTCCAAAGGACTGAATCCTTGACAATTTCAGCAATTCATTATAAGAATGTATGCTGATTATGGTGATGCCATTTACTTTTTTGAAGTAAGGTGGCTAAGCTAGCATAAAATGCTAAAAAGATTTCATGATTTCTGAAATTAAATAATTCATGGAATTAAAAGGAAAATTTGTGCCAGGTTAAAAATGTCTCTTAGATTTAGCATTTTTTGGTGCATTTGACCATTCATTTAAATGAATTCCTTCATTTAAATGAGTCCCTTCATGGTGAAAATCAATCCCTCCGTGCTATTTCAAGCTACTAACAGCTTCCAAAACAACTTAAATTATAACAAGCTAAAATTATAGTGAATAAATGCATGTATTTTGATATATTATCATATAATGCAAGAAGAGCATAACTTCTTCAAAAATCTATGAGGGACAACTTAGGAACTTGTGAACAATTGCAACCACTTATGTCAAACCAGACTGATGCAAAAACAAGGTGAAATATTCCACTAGCTTATGTTTTTGTTGCTCTCCATTGTTATGCTTTTTATATATATATACTTGTTTATAAGTATTGTTATTTGTGTGCATTAACTATTATATATTTTATATGTGGCCCATGACAATTTCTCTTCACTTAATGTGGACCTGGCAAGCCAAAAGATTGGACATGCATTATTTAAATAATGCTACTGGATAAATTCATTTAAAAAATAATGCTTATATAGTAGCATTTCATTGTAATTTCTTTCTTGATTGACTCCATTTAGTTTTAATAAATCCTTGTCTTCTGGTATTTACAACAATGTAATGTAATGCAAGACAGTCTTCCCACAAAATCTGTAGGTAAGTTTTATGGTGCAATTATTGCTGGTTGAAAACTATTCAAAAAGCCTTTTATATATCATATCAGTCTGTAAAATTCTGATGCATCTCTAGCTTAAAATAAAAAGAAATTTACTCTCACTGTAACATTCACCTGAAAAATCTGTCTTTTAGTTAAAGCTCACTTTCTCTCTGGAAATAATCATATTCCCAAGGGATGCAATGGCATTCTTAGAGGTGCAAATCAAGACAGTATAAAATTTTTCTGATGATGATTTTCCACAGATTGTCACTGTAGAATTTTTAATCAATATTTTTTGAATACATACACTAAAAACTTAGGCAGTTTTCAGTATAGAAGTCTTTCTCTTTTAATTTAATATGAAGTGTGAGAATATTTTATTCATGGGAAAAATATATTGTCTGGTTGGTTGCTTGTCTGTTTTATCTATTTTTGTAGATCAGACTATTTTTTTCCACAAAAGTCACTTTTTTTAACTACCAGTCCTTAGAAATAACAAGCTGAGCATCCAATAAAACTATGGTTCTTCACATATCATGCTAAATTCCTTTCTTGACACTACTTTCACTGACATAAAACTGTTGAAAATGTAACAAAGATAAATCTGAACAGCTATCAAAATATTTTTAGTTTCTTAGCATCCCAGGGTGAAAACAAATCTTTCAAAGAAAATTACGATGGAATGGGAAGGTAATAATAAAGACTTTATTATTTTAATTATTTTTCTTTTTCAGAAACAAATAAATATTTGGCAGCAGAAGATGGCATGGACACGTCTTTGACATAAGCTGAAGCAAGTTCTGAGTATTATTCTTCCAGTAACAAAATCATTGTCCTTCATTTTTTCTATATATATTTTTAAGCTTTCTCATGATAAAAACTGATCAAATCATTCTTAAGAAAAACTGGAAGCAATAACCTATTATCTTTTAATAAATATATATTGTCAGTGTTTTTAAACATAGTAAGATGCACAAAATGTGTACTGTTGTCATAAAAGTGCCAATATTACTTAGATTTATCCATGACAATTATTTTTTATGTATTTATTATAAACCAGGCATGCTACAAGTCTTTATAAAATTCTATCTGAAAAAAAAATAAATAAATAAAATATTGCACTTGAACGTGATTCAGAACTCACAAACATTTTCAACACTTCACTAACTGCCTGTATCATTGAAGACTGTTTGAACTGTCTACATCACATTTATTTGGAGAGAAAAAAAAAAAAAAAAAAAAAAAAAAACTATAAAAAAACTGCAGGTTACTTGTAGCATTGCAGAGAATCCCACAACTAGTTTACATCATTTGAGCAAGAAATGAATTATACCATTTTTCTTTCTACTTTGAACAGCTAGGAAAGTTTATGATATTGGAAATGAATAGTTTTCTACAGCAAACTCCTACCAGATTTTCATTGTTCCACATAAGGCAAAATTAAGTGATCCAATACAAATGGAATATAGAGCTTCTTTTCTACTGGATTTTCCCATTAAAAAGTTTATTTCTGTCATTTCTAACATGTTGTCTTTATGATAATTATCAGTTAACCAATGTGATAATCTTGGTTGTCTCCTATATTCATAAATACAAAATGTTCTTTAAGCTGTCTTTGGTATGCTGACTTCCCACATTACAAGCTACTATTGGTTTTGTTTTTCTTCAAAAATAAAGCTTATTGTACATGATACACGTAGATACTTCCATTTATTTTAATAGCATCATAAGGCAGAAATTAATCAACACAAAATCAATATCAAGTAGCACATTATTGTCATAAGAATTCTCTATTGACTTCAATGCATTATTGTAAAAACTCTTAGTGTTTCCTCAACTATTAGATATTTATAAACTTACAAAAGGCAGACATTCATATAGATAAGAATTCTGAAAATACTAGGCCTTACCACTACAAGAATTTCCATGTTTAGAGGATCTTTACAAGAATTTGAGTAAGCTATGTGTTCCTGTACACACTCATATCTAGAAAACAGTAAATATGAGAGATCTGGAATTTAAACTAGATTATAGACTTAAATTGACAACTCAAAATCACATGGAGGTGTATAGGAGCCTTCAGAGAAGCCCCTACAAGTGCAGAGTAGAGCATGTGAGACAGCAATACTCCACTCCTCAGTGAATATGAGTTTAAATGCAAGAGTTTCATGGAAAAATGAAAGAACAGGGTTAGAAATAAAGTGACAAAATGCCCAAATAATGGGGAAAACTATTCTCTTTGAATGTTCAAAATTGATTCTACAAAGTTCTGGAGTTTAGGCTTCTAAAATACAAATACAGTTTAAAGTTTAAAGGTTTTAACCCATTTTTAGAAAGTGCCATGGTAAAACATAACATTATTTCTGCTGTTTGTTTGTTTGTTTGTTTGTTTTTTAACTACTCTTTTCACATGAACAGTGGAATCACAAAATAAAACTGTCAGACTATACTCCTGGGTTTAGGTTTCCATTATCTAGGAGCATTGTTTGCTGCCCATATATATACTGTGCTTGACAGCTGTATGTGTTATGCAAATAAAGTTTCTTTATGAGTTTGATTTTGATTGACATTAATCCTATTCTCTCCTGTTATAGGAAAATCATCTGACTTTATTCTACCTAATACTATGAAAGAACATTAAAGCACAGGAAAATATTTTGGTTCTTTGGTTAAGTTTATCTCAGCAGCTTTATTATATCACATTCAAATTATTTTTAACAACATACTAAATTTCAACATACTTCAAATGACATCACATTAAACATAAGTTTTCTCAAAAGTCTTTGTGTATGGAAAAAAAAAAAAAAAGAAACAGAGATTTCCAATGATCTTAGTTTTCTGTCTGAAACATATCCAACTTGCATTTCATTTCTAAAGACTGTCATATTAAATTTCTGTTAAGAGGAAAATATTTTGATTAAACCCTCCATGTGATAAGAAGTTTTAATTCCTACTGTTCCTGTCCCTTATTAATTTTGAAGCTACAGTTGCTTATAAGAGATTCAACATAAAAAATTATTGCTTATGCTTGAAGAAACTATCATTTTAACAGTCACTCAACTTCTTGATTGATGTTATCTCTTTCCCTTTGAAATTATAGTCTGCTCCAGACTATGTTGTTAGTAGTCCCAAAATGCAACATTATTAAGTTTCCGAAGTGTAGCACTTTGGAATTTGCCGAAGAAATTCAGCAAAAGAAGCAAGAAAAAAAAAAAAAAAAAAAGAGAAAAAGAAACAAACAAACAAAAAAACAACGAACCATAACTGCTTGTAGATATATGTAGGTACAGAAATAACTTTTTCATCACATTCTCTTGGAAGGAAAAAAACAAACAAGCAAGCAAATGAACAAACAATAAGCAACTAAGAATTAATAACTAATATTACCAGACTAGTTACCTCTCTATATTGTTTTTTGATTCAGGAATCACAGTAATATGTTGTAATGTAATTCTTCCTATAAACGTTCAAAATCGTGGAAAAGAAATAGCAAAAATAGTCACTTACCCTCAGATTAGAGGATTGGAATTCGTTCAAAATTTCTCTATCCTGAGATCTGAAAAATACAGAACAAAAACCTATCAACATTGGCAATAAATGGCTGGATATTGGATATATGATAAAAAATTAGAAACCTGATATTTCAATACATCAAATAATTAACATACACATATATTATAGGAAAATCAATATGTTTAAAACATTAAATAGCTTTGGGTGAAGCATTCTGTACATCAGAATCTAAACTTTAATGCGTAATCATTTCAGGTACACACAAACACACACATGCACATTATCATCACTACTACTCCTCACCAGTATTCTGAGGAAAAAATTAATTAACTCTACCTTAGCTGAGAATCTGTGAATTTTCATGGTGCTTGATGCATGTCACTGATAATTGTATACAAGGAGTTCAGAGTGCACACTAGAGCTGTTCAAAGTTTGCTTGGGAAGTTTTTTGAGAATAAGTAGAGAATAAGCACTTCTTTTGAGTAACAAATTATTTCAGTGTTAAGACAATAAAAACAAAAAAAAAAAAAAAAAAAAAAAAAAAACAAAAAAACAAAAACCAAAAAACAAAAACCAAAAAACAAACAAAAAAAACTCCTTTAGACGACATTATAACAATGTGGCTCCAGGTATGAAATAAAAATAAGTTAATCATAGAGAAAATGTATGACAAGTATCAGTGCTTTGTGAAAACTAATGAATGTGCATTGGTGTGAAAGTATTGAATGGGGGTGGATGTTTATAAATCTGGGTATGTGAAAATTCAATTTCTTCTTTATAAGCAGAGGAAGAAAGATTTGTACAGTACAACTCCTCTATAAGCATCAAATATAAATGATTCACCATTGAATTAAAATTCATTTCATGGGACTGGATGTAATTCTTTGTAATTATTAAGATTTGTTAAATTTATCAATACTAAAATCATAGTTATTCAATTTAATAAGGCTTGAGGTTATCCGTTAAATTAATAAAAACAATGAAAAAGATATTTTCCTACAGCAAATTATTCTTCAACTTTACATTAATGCAAACTAATGCATAAATTTTAAAATCTTGCAAAGATATATTGCAAAATACAGAAGGTCTCAATATACATGAATAATAGAAAAAAAGGATGAAAAAAATAGTGCATGAACATACTATTACATTTATTTTTAAACTAAGTACAATTAATAAAAAAGAAGATTAAAAGCTGTATTAGCAATCTGCATAGTTTAGAGGAGATATGTATGCCCGTAATCTAGATATTCTATTATTATACTATGATAATCCATTCAGTGCTTAAGATATTGCCAAATTCTGGCATTTTTTTTTTCCTTGCTTAGGTACTACTTCTTCTTTTTATCTATTTATCTATCTATCTATCTATCTATCTATCTATCTATCTATCTATCTATCTATCTATTTTCTCCCCTTGTTTTTGTTAGTGATGGCTCAAGGAAGTGCAGATATTTTGTCAGCGTTACAGACATACTCAAAAAAATATATATACGTATATTTGAACAAGGTTTATCAACCAAAAATATGTGGTTACTTCCATGTTTTAAGATTCTAACATGAAGCACTGAGTTGAACATTTAAAACTGAGAATCACACAGGCCCAGAAACTTAGTAACTTCTACTTATTTGAAGACTTCAGCATATAGACCCTGAATGACTGCTGCATTCAGGTACAGGTTTTTTGAGTCTCTAAGCAGACTGTCCTGACAGTGCAGATGCAAAAATTATATTATTAAAAACAAACAAACAAACAAACAAACAAATAAAAAATCAATAATAGAAACACCTCCTATGTTAAAAGCTTAAAATAACTGTCTCCCTTCAAATAAATTTTCCTAAAATATCCTTCTGCATTTTCTACCTTTCTTTGTTTTCTTTTTTCAGTTGTTATAGAAGCAGTTGAATTGAACCACTAATAAGATCTGCCACAGATGAAAAAATGCCACATGATCCAAAAATATTTTACAATCTGATTGTATAAAAGACTCTAATTTTATTTGTGTCTCACATCATCCTTTGTTCTATTATTTTGAATATATGTTGTTTTGATATTACTGAATGGTTTTGATATAAAATGTTTAGCTCACTTGGGGAAAGAGTCTGTTCAGTTGTAATCATGACACTGAGGTAGTTTTATCACAGTAGAAAATGAGAGTTGTAAAAAAGGTAAGATTTCTTAAAACAAAGCTACTGAAATAAAAGTAACGAAACTTACTGAAAAAAACTGATAAATTGAATTGCAAATTGTAATAAAACATAATAAATGTTAGTAACAATGAAGTATTGAACATATCAAGGCTTATGAAGCACAGGACTAAGAAGAAAAGCAAGCTCTTCTTGGTATGCTACAGATAAATTTTGTTTTCAATTCTGCAGCAATAAAATTTGGCAAGCAAATTTCCACAACTTTTAGGCTAGATCCATTTCAGCTCTTGGAAGCATGTAAGATTAAATTGTATTAGGAAAAGCAGGATAATTTTTAGTAAGTCTTTTTTAATTATTCTGTGACTTAGCTTCAATTAAAAACAATGATAAAAACAAAGCAATAAATGTTAGTCTTGTAGATAAGTTAAAAAAATTAGTTGTATCTCTCCCTTCTGTGATGTAGATGATGCTTTTAGAAACAGTGCCAGTTAAGTTGAACAATTCAAATTTTTTTCTTACCAATGTTCACATATTACATTTGGATATCACATGGCAGATTACCTTCAGGGACTTAGCAAGGATGTACTGATCACTAAAGAAAGACAACTGGCTGTCTCTACGGTGGCATGACCACTATTAAATGCATCAAATCATGCAGAAATAAGAAATAATACTTCAGAGAATGAAAATCAACTTTTGAAAGACCATTTTGAAAAACCAGAGCAAGAACTTGGTGTATTAACAGGGAAGAATTCTACATCTTCCAATTCTACATCTTCCAATAGGTCTAGTTCATAATATTTCAATGAACAATAACCAGACTCCTGAATCAACAGACTTCATTGGTCAGGAAAAAAAAAAAATCCAAATTAGATCTTGAATATCTGATTTTGACTGATCCACTAGAAGTCCATCCTGTCATAACTCAGAAAACAAAAAAAGTACAGGACAGACCAGCAGGGTGTCGCCTGATCAGTGGCCCCTGCCCAGACTCATTTACATGTAACAGCCCAGCCATACACGGCAACAGAATTGATGGATTTAGTACAGCAATTTTGGCAGAAGCCTAAAGAAAGTGTGCCAGCTTGGTTATTAAGACTGTGGGATTATGGGGCAGAAAGTGTTTGGTGAATGGCCTGGAAATACCCAAGTTGGCCAGCATGACTGTCCATCCTGCTCTCAGGCAGAGGTTATATGTGGGTAATCAATATCTTGATGAAGATCATTCTATAATAGAATGGTTAATGGTGGCCTGCCATGTGGTATGGCTGAATAAGTCAGATATACTGCTATATACAGGGATGTGGTCCTCCATGGAGGACCTCCAGAATTATATCTGAGAACTGGGCATAAGGGAAACTACCTATGAAGACAATTTGATGGCCCTGCTATGGTCAAATTTCCAGCAGGGATGAGAGACTTGATTCTACAGCAAGTTCCCTTTCATCTCTATGGTACTTGAGTCTCTATATTTAATCCCCCTGGTGGCCTCAGAAGCCGTAATCCTGCAGGCTGCCCAGTTAGTGGCCGACCTGGGAGAAACAGAACACCTGTGGACTAGGAGCAACATTCAGATGTTGGAAGAAGCAGAGGTCTTGCCAGTAAGTAAAACCGAAATGCTGGCTACTCAAGCTCCTCAATCGGGATCCATAAGGGTATCCTGAAAACAAATGTTTAATGATTTAATTTGGGCAGGCGTCTAATTTGCTTGGATTGACCACCAGCCCAACCATGTCCTTCTCCAGCTCTGGAGACAACTAAAGGACAATCAAAAATTTCAGAACTACCCTAAGAAATCAAGGGTAAGGGTTATAGAAAGAATACCAACAATGACATGGAACCTAGAAGATTTCGTTGTTCCAAATAGGAAAAAAAAAAAAAAAAAAAGCCTCCTCAAGTGTCTTGGGCCCCAATGCCTGGCCCACTGGAAGACAAAAGAATTGGCTCTACCACAATTCATGGTGTGACAATGGATGTTAGTCCCCCTAGGGCCTCCAGACGGGATTGGAGGCCCTATGTAGAATCAACGATTTATTGGTCCCGAAAAAATATTCAGTTATGGTGTTAGTGGACACCAGAGCAGAAACATCAATTATCTATGGAGATCCGACGAAATTTGATGGGGACAGAGTGATGATTGGTGGTTTTGAGGGACAGACTATTCCTGTCACCCAAACGTGGCTAAAATTGGGGGTTGGGCGTCTCCCATCCCGGGAGTACAAGGTGTCTATTGCTCCAGTCCAATAATACATCCTGGGTATAGATATTCTATGAGGTCTGGCTCTCCAGACAACTGTGAGAGAGTTCAGACTTTGACAGAGATGTATCAGTATCCGAGCGTTGCAGACAATATTAAGAGGCCATGCAAAACATGGGCCTATTTGCCTGCTGAAACCGCACCGGATTACTAATGTCAGACAATATAGACTCCTGGGTGGGCAAGATGAAATATCGAGAACGGTGCAGGAATTAGAAAAAGTGGGCGTTGTAAGACCTGCACACAGCCCATATAACTCCCCCATATGGCCAGTGCGAAAGTTGGAAGGCACATGGAGAATGACAGTAGATTACAGAGAATTAAATAAGGTCACACTGCCTATTCATGCAGCCCTACTCAATATTGCCTCCCTAATGGACACATTAAGCAGGGAGATAAAAACCTATCATTGTGTCCTAGATCTAGCAAATGCATTCTTCAGTATCTAAGTTGCTGAAGAATCGCAAGATCAGTTTGTGTTTATGTGGGGAGGCAGGCACTGGACCTTTCAGGTCCTGCCACAGGGGTACGTGCATTCACCAATGTATAGTCACAATCTAGTGGCACGTGACCTGGCTGATTGGAGAAAACCTGATTATGTTAACATATACCATTATATCGATGATCTCCTGCTGACA